TTCTAATAGATGGGTCAGCCAAATGTTTATTGAAGCTTGTCACAGTCAAGATCATTGTGTTCTGGTTTATAGGGAGTAAAAAATAACCATTATGAGGGAATTAACACGGCAAAATATAAATTTTGCAAGTAATTAGGCAGCTGTATATTTATCAGTACAGAATGTATTTTAATTTTTAATCAGGGCTTTTGTTCCAACTGACAAAATAATGGCTTGTTTGCAATCTTCCACTGAAGCAGACTTCCCAAAACGGGAATTGGTGCATGAGTGGCCCCTTTGAGTCTCATTTGCCATGAAGTCTGATGTATCATGTAATTCCCTCAGTGAGAGGTCCCAAGGATATATGTGATGTTTCAAATTGGCTGTAATTTTCTCACATATGATTCACAAGGTAAATAAAAACGATCTGTTTTAGCAGTGCCTCCCAATTTACTGGGAAATGAAAAAGAAATATTATTACAAATGTATTGGAATTACTCGATGAGAAGCCCCAAAATGTTTTTTATGGGCCTAGAATGCAGATTAAATCTCCAGAGAAACCTCAAATTTGAAGAACTCCAATATAGATTATTGTTCTGTTGCTCCTAGCAGAAATCTTCCCATCTATCTCCACCTCAGTCTTGAAAAATATGCACATAATTTAGATGCAAAAGATATTGGGATTTCAGAAACACACCTTTGCATCCCTAGCAATCATTTCTTAAGGAAAGATTATTTGCTAACGTGAATAGATATAGAGGTGTCTGTGGAGTCTTTAATAAAACACCAGGGGGAGCTTCAGAATTTAATCAGAAACTTCAAATCTGTACTCTGACTCTTGGTTTACTAGCTGTGTGGCTCGAGCAAGTGATTTCGCCTGCCTGTACTTTACTTTCTTCATTTATACAAATGGGATTGTTTTAACTGACCAATAATTTTGTTTGATTATTGTGGTGATTTTACAATACATGGCAAGAGAAAACATATGATTTAAAGAAAGCTATTTGACTTCTGACTTTAATACTGTGTCATTGAGCAAATAACTTCCATCTTTAGTTTCAGTTTATTTCTGTGAACAGAAATGAACATTTCAAATCATTCTTGTGAGAATTTTCCATAATTCAGTTAGAATTTCTTGAACTACTTAGGAATATAATAACTTTTGTTGGGTGAGTAAATACAGTTAAGACCCTTTCTATTTATTTTTTATTTTTTCCTTGTTAGCAAACTTTTTATCTAAATCTCCTATGATCCAAGCTTTATAAAAATCCAGAAACAGGGTCTTCTTCCAAGGTCTTAGGTACTCAAAGCTTGAGAAGGATAATTTAAAAATAAGTAAACCAAACAGTCCTTTTTGTGGATTAAAAACTAGTAGTCAACTTAACACCAGCTGAACTGAGTCAGCATGGTGCTGAGTGGAAATGGCCCACCTGAGGAAAGTTGCCAGTATAAAAGGGATGTGGAGAGGACATGTGTAGCATTGTGGGTTATCCTAAGTGTTGTTGTTTGGAGCCGTTGGTTCTCTTGGAGGAGCTTGCTATGCTGGCTTTCCTGATATGAATTCAGCTATTCTCATCAGAGCAGCTCAGGACCTTATTGCTGACAGTAGCTGGGGTTCACTCTGGGGGAGCTCTTGTCCTTATGTTGAGCATCACTTCCTGGCTCCGGAGGGTAGGATGTGTGCTGTTTAACTTATAGAAATTCGTCATGCTGGCTTTCTTATATGTATTTGGCTGTTCTCATTGTTGGAGGAGCTTGGGACCTCATTGTTGCTGAGGACAGCTGTGGTGCTTTTCAAGGGAGCCCTGGTCCTTACATTGAATGTTGCTTCTTGGCTCCAGTGCAGAATCCTCAACCTACTGGTACAGATCCTTTATCCTGCTGGCATAGACTTTCTAGCTTCCACTGCTGACCTTGGGGCCTTCCCAGTGTAGACTCATAAAACAGACTCATATGAGTCCTTGTTGTGGGCTCTAAGCCTCTAATCGAACTTGTGGGAGACACTGTCATGAGTGCTAGCTCTTCAGCTGGATTTAAGCAGGACATTGCTGTGGGATCCAGGCCCTAGGCTGGATTTTCTAGGTCTTTAGTGTTGTGGACAGATTTCCTGCACTTTCTTGTACTTAACTCTGGGTGACCATCATAAAATAATATTTGAAACTATATGTGTCCTGGATGTGATTTGTCTCCTTGCAACCCCTCACTACAACAGACCTATAGTGGGTCCTTTATAAAAAAGCTCTAAAGATCTCAATTATTATAGCTATTAATATTTGCCCCAAACCCAGACAATGTAAAGTTATCTCTATTCTACTAAGGAGGGGGTAAGGGAAGGTCTGACTTCATGCCACTATTTTAGAGCCTCACCTTTTTGTCATTGGCCAGAGGTCAGGGTTCTCTGGCAGCGTGTCATCTTTCAAAGAGGTCTTGTTGACATACACTGGGAAGGTGTCCAGTAAATGTGTGAAGTGAGAACTCTGAGTCACCTCGGGAACTCCACATAGACCTGGATCTTGGCCTTAAGTAGAACTTGGACCTTGAAGTTGCTTGTGGTGGAGGGAATATGCAACAAGCCTTTGTGGGTGACCATCAGAACGTTCTCTGCTGTGTGAGGTCACAGTTCACAGGCACTGAACTAGGCTATGTGGACATCTGGGGCAGGGATCACTCTGCCAGCAACAATGCCCAGTTTTGCACAGACTTAGGTCTCTCAGTCCAATTCCCTCACAAGCCTCAGCAGGTGCTAGACACCCCTTTTGTGCTTATCCCTGGCCGTGCCTGAGGACCAAAGAGCAGCTCCACATAGACAAACCTAAGGCAAACATGCCATATGTGAGACCCACTTCCACATTGGCTAGAGAGCTCCTGCCTAGCTTCCTGGAGTCTAGGTCCAGCCAGTGATCCTCAGGGGGTAAGGGACGGGGGTAGTGCAGCATGCTGCTAAAGAGATTAAAGGTGGAGTTTTGGGCTCCTCTGTCCACAGCAGCTAGCCACTCACAGTGCCTCCTCTTCCCAGGGCAGGTGGGCCAGTGGCACAGGGATACTGGTTAGGTCGGTGGTCTTGTCTCTCCTGACGTAGGTGTTGGTGCAGATATGGTACATGCTGAGTCAGTCAAGTAGCAGCTCTGTGACAACCAACAAGTACTTTTCCATTTTCTCTGCAGAGGTTGGGCACGTGACCAGTGCTGAGACATCGGTGTTCATCAAAGCAGGGTGCCTGTCCGCAGGTCTGTCCATCAACAGATCTCCCTCAAGAGTGAACTACATTTTAAAAAACACTGAACACCTTTTGTGAATACTGGTTTCAAGCAAAGGTGCAGACCCCAGATAATGCCTTGACGGAAGGGGACATTAACAATGACAGAGGCAGGAGATCCTTAGATCTTTCTTTTCTTATGAATTCACATAAACACCACTAAGGTATAAACTTCAATACAGGTTGACTTGGAAAACCAGCAGAAGGCTTTGTTCCTAAGGGCTTAGAGATGATATTTCATCCATGAAGCCCAAGATAGAAGCCCACAGGGTAGATGGAAACCCTATGGAGAAAGCAGCTGCCTGTCAAGTGGATCCATGAGAACACATCTTCTTTATTGGAAATCAAGTCCAGGTGGGAGGTAGTCATTGGCATTCTGGTGTCCTAGGTCCAGTTCTTTTATTTCTCCTCATCCAGGTTCCCTCCTTAGTAGACATGAGTGATCCATTCTTGGGCAGGCTCTTTATAGAACAGTAATACTTATACCAGTAGTAATTATCTGCGATGAACTAGTCTTCCTGAGAAGGGTTAAGCTCTCTGTGCTTCTGGAGATGCAGATGTCAAAGGAGATCTGTTGATACCAGCCATCAGTTCACCACCTCAGGAGTCATACCGCCTGGTCAGTCTGCATCCAAGTCATGTTCTTGTCACTATGTCATGGACTATAATATGATAGAAACTTTCTGTCTTAGTTACTTTTTACTCGTTGCTTAGACAAAATATCTGAAGCCCAAAGTTGGGAAAGGAAAAGTTTATTTCTTACAGTTTTTGGAGGTTTCAGTCCACACTTAGTTGGCTCCAAGACAGGCGGGCATGCCTGGGCCGCAATTCATGGCGGCTGCCAACAGCAACCAGGAACCAGCAAAGAGCAAGACACACCATCTTCCTGCCATTCCATCACATCCTGGCTCCACCCCTATGTGGGTGGAGCAATGACACCATCAATCCAAGCACTAGACAATGAACCAATCACAAATACACAATGCAAACTCATGAGGCCTGGGAGCCACAGACATAAACCATGACACTGTCATACAGCCAGGCATCTGCCATGGACAGCTGTATGGCTCCAGGCTAGGCACATTTGCTCTCTGGGCTTCCATTTCCACATCTGTAAAAGGACACTAGATGATGAGTAGGACCTCCACGTGCCTATCCACTGTATTTATCCTGTGCCATGTGACTGGGTACATGGGAATCTTAATATCTTCACAGATGATTGATAAGTATATGATCTTATGGACACTTGAAAGATAATCTTCCTTTAGACCCCAGACAGGCTAATTTTTGTACTAAATTTCACTTTGTAGTGAATAATAGTAAGATTTTCTTTCTACAAGAACTAGAACACAAGTTTCCACTCAACCTGCTGCCTTTCATCATGCATAGTCCCAACCCTGCTGTTTTTGAGGGTGTACAGTGCATTTCCCCCACACCTTGTAAAGGGGAGCTGAAGGAAACAGTGCAGTGTCGTGAGCATTTCAACAGGCTGGGAAGTCAAGGACACAGGTATTCCAGTGCTAGGTTTGTCATTTAGTGTATATGTGGCTGCATTATGCCTTATTTTCTCAGCTGAAAAATAACCATCCTGCCTACTGTCTTCAAAAACAATTGATTTTTAAAAAAATTCTTTATTCTCCATGGAAAATTAAAAGGAAGTCATTTCCTAGTATGAAGAAGACAGATATGGAAGGTGGTTGGTTTTAACTTCCTTCTGTTTCAGCTCCAGTAAGTATCTGTTTTGTTTTTGAACTGTCTTCTGCAGGAATGCCTCATTTGCAGAGAGCTCTAAATGGGACAAACTGGAGCAAGTATGCCACCTGCTCATGTGACAGTACCTTATGCATCTTCATTGGCTGTCCACGTGTCCATTAGACCAAGAGGAGCCATGAAGCAGAGAACAATCACTTTCTTCCCTCAGCAGACCACATGTTAACTGAATAGGATTTACTTATGCTTTGTAAGCAATGTTATGCTGTGAAGCAGTGTTGGTGGTTGTGGATACAAGAAAGAATATTAAGATACAACCATCTCAAAAATCTTGAGAGATGAGCCTTTAACTAGAAAATTCACATTGGCCAGAGCAGATAAGTGAGGTAGAAGTTGAGGGGAGATAACAGGTTTTGAGCAGGCGTTGGTAAACTATCTTCAGTGAAGTGGATGAGAAATATTTTAGTTTGCTGGAACTGTGTCTTTGACAACTACTCAACTTTACTCACCTTAGACATCTGCCAAAGAGCAAACATATGAATGGGCCTGGTTATGTGCCAATAAAATTTTATTTATTTATGATCATAATAATTTGAATTTTATATTATCCATTTTCTAAAAAAAATAGAAATATAAAAGTAATTCTTAACTCCCTGGTAGTACAAAATTAAGGACAGGTGACAGTTTTTGCTTACTTAATCTAGAGCTGTATCTGCAGAGTTACAAATTATAGAGAACCGAGCAAGGGAAATTATAAAAATTGTAAGAAACAGTCTTTAGACTTTTCCAAGCTCTCTGGGTATCAGATCAGTGTGTCCTGCTTCACCCAGAAAATGGGGGTGTGCTTTTCTTGAAGGTACTGGCTGATCCTTAAGTGCAGCCTGGGGCCATTAGGATTTGTAGAAAAGATAAAGAAAGTAAGGACTATTTACAGACAGATTTTGGTTCCACAAGCTGTGATCTACTTTTTGCTATTGCTTATATATATTTGCACTCAAAGTTATTTGTCATCCCTTTTCTTCTGGCTTTGACCCATCTCCTTTCATAAAATATTCTCCTATTCCTGTTGTCCTCCTGAAGGAATGGATTTAGCCTTCTGAAATCCTTTTTGCTCTACAAGGAGATTTGGTGTAAAGTGAGTGAACCCTTATGTGTCACACAAGGAAGTTTACTTGCTAAAATAAACTGACCTCCTGACGGTCTTGCTCAGAATGAGCACCATACAGCAAGTTTTCGGGAGTGCATAGACACTGAGTATCTACAAATGTCTTCTATTAATTAATCCCACTCTGGAAACCTGTACTTTTCTTCCTTATTTGCATAAAACACCTGAAAATGAGCATCACTGAGAACAGTGTCAAGCCTGGATAACTACAAGTTTCATCAGGTACTAACTGAATGACCTTCAACACATTTTCTGAATTTTGTCTGGTAAGCATTTTCCAAATAGATTTGATAATATATTTTTATCTATTATCTAATGTTGGAGGCATTTTTAAAAATACATGAAAACAAATGTATTAGACAGGTTTAACTCCTTTGTATATTCGTGTATGTATGCTTCAAATTCTTTGAAAATTTTATGGTGTCTTTAAAAAATATTTATGTAGATATACACATACACTGCAGGAGTATAGAAAGATAAGATATTCATAAATATGACTTCAGATTTCAAGAAGTTATCTTTGAGCAAGGACAGTGTGATATAAGATAAAGATCATTGAATTTAGGACATCAGACATGGAAATCAGACATGCATTGTAGGCTTGTGTCCATTCCTAATTGGTTACAAGGACAAGAAATTTGCCTAGTATCTCTGAAACACTATTTTGTCAAGTTTAAAAATGGGGATACTAACCCCTGCTGTCATCATACAATTATTTTAAGAACCGACTGAAATTATGAAAAGTGTTTTATAAAAAGTAAAGTGCTATGCAAATGTAAGTCTTGCCTCATTAATATCATTTTCTTTCCTGAGGCGCCCTTACTCTGCTCAGTGATTCTAGGGATAAATAATTTAGAAACAAGTAGCAGAAATCATCAGCTAAAATAATGAACTTTTGGAAACTTTTATTGACAAGTGAAATATACTTACTGAATTTTTCCATATAAATCTAGGAGAGCCAATGCCTTTTATTCAAAGTGCCTTTTATTTGATTCAAAAAGAACCCTCAAAGTTCAGGGAATGGATGTTCACTAAATTCTCAAATAAGTTCCTTCCATCATAGTCCACAATTATACATTTATTTGTTTTTTTAAAAATTTATTGCAACAGACTATTGGGTCATCGAAGCACCAGGACTCTGATGCTCCCCTTTGATTTTGAGAAAGGAGAACAATGTCTTTGCCAGAGTCCTGAGGGGAAGTGAATTCTTTCCCAGCTTCTATAGAAGGTCAGACAACTGGCCAGTTTTACCAGAGTAGTCAAGCAGTTAGTTGAACTAATTGCTTCCCTGAAATGACTTTCCCTGACTGAATATACTAGGTGTTTGAGTCCAGAGGGCTAATTTCATATTACTTGCTTGACCAAGTAACATACAAACCCTCAGGCAGTATAGTTTAAAACAAAACAAAGATAATTAGAAAGTGGCTATAGGAACTGTTTTCATATATTGAGCACCTCTTTTGTTCTGGTATGCTTTCTCTCATGGGATCGAAAGATTCTTATTCTGAGTATATGATCCCTACAGAGGATTAAATCAAGCCATTTATAGGAAGAAGAATTTCTTTCTTTGTCAGTGAAAGAACTTTCATTATAGTTTCTGCCTACTCATCACGAGAAAATAAACGTAAGTTGAGATAAACAAAAACTACTAAATGATAAAAAGAAAAGGGCTCCTGCTTTTTTATGGGTGTGGTTTGGTGAGCAATGCTGTGCTTTTTTTGACATGATTTGATTGAAATTGTACCACACATAAGGCAACACATGGTACAAGATACTTCTGGGTAACAGAAGTTGGGCAGACAATAATATTTAAAAGGCGAAATCTAGATGAAAGAGCTGGAGAACCACAGCAAACTACCACTAGGACATGTGACAATTTATCTTTATGTTCATATGTTTAACTCTTTGATTGTCTTCCAATTGTATTTGTTACTTCTGTGTGTGGAGCCCAATTCTATTCTCTCCATTCCAAACCTATAAATCCAAATACCTAGTTTTATATCTGCAGGAAAATATCAATGGCATATCTAAGTCAAAAAGCTCAAAACTTAAGTTCTTCTCCTCCTAAAACTAATATTTTGGAATCTTCTTCCAGAGTGATTGACAATACTATTCAAAGAGAAACAAATAGGAACAAGAAGCCAATTTGACCTTCCTGGGACCAACGCAAGCCATGTGGGTCCTAGGAGGAGAACAGCCAGCTTCACCCTTCCCATGAGTCAGCAGAAGCCATGCTGGGCTTGAGAAGGGTAACAAGGAGAAATTAACAAGAAGCCAGTTTGCCATTCTCGGCACCGTGCTCAAGCCATGCAGATCCCAGAGGGAGAACGAGTCAAATTCACCCTTACCTTGAGTTGGTTAGAGCATGTTGAGCCTGGGAAGAGTAACAAGAACCACGAGAAGCCAACGTGCCCTTCCCATAGACTGACTGGTGTGTAAAGTAAGAGACAAAAACACCCTCCCCCTCCCATAAGCAGATGGCTGACTTGGAGGACACGTTGACTTGATAGCATCTGAAGTACAGAAACAACTTAATGCTTCTGTTGTTTGGCTGACTTTGCAGGCCTGAGCCTGGTGGTACAGCCCTCTACTGAGAGGATAACAGGGTGCCGTGTAGCAACTATGGGAGGTTTCCTTGTCTTGTTTTTGAAATCCAATTATTGTTCTCACTGTTTTGTTTTGTTCTATTTTATTGTTTTGTTTTACTTAATGTCCTGTTTTGATTGATTTCATTCTGTGTTATTTAGTTTGATTTTGTTATATCTGATGGTCTAGCTATAATTTTGAAGATAACAGAAGGCGTTATGGTAGCCAATGCTGATTTCCTGTTTTGAAATCTTATATCACTTTCATTGTTTTATTTTGATTGGTTTTATTCTATGTTTTTTTTCTTTTGATTGATTTTATTCTGCTTAGTTTTGTTTGATTTTATGTCTGATGATATGGACAGCTATTTTAAAGAAAACGAGACATGATGGTAGCCATTGTCAATTTCTTATTATTTTGTTTTGAAACCCTGTATCACTTTCCCTGTTCTGTTCTGGTTGGCTTTATTCTGTTTTGTTTTGTTTGGTTTTATTCTTTTCAAAATAAAAATTAACAAAAGGCAGCAAATCACAAACATGGATGATTTTTGAAATTTCATTTCTCTATAAATGTCAAAGCTAACTCATTTCTTTGTTTTTCATCCAGCAGTTTATCAGCATTTACATGCACTATTATCCTCTAAATGCTTAGTAAAACATGGTATAAACAACCCACCAACCAATCAACAACCAAACAAACAAATCTTCCTTGGAAACTGGGGCCCTGTTTTGAGGAAGGAAAGATAGGTTACAAAGTAAACAGATACACAATGTGAAAAGTATTGGAAAAACCCAGCCATACCATAAGATTTGGAAAGAGGGAGGCTAATTTACATGTCATCAGTTGACATGTCTTTTCAGGGATTTGATTTGTGAGCTGAGAAGATGCTGGCAAGAAGTGAAGAGCACTGCAGGTAGAGGAAAGAGGAAGTACAGGGGGCTAGGAGCAAGATAAGGCTTGATGTGTCCAAGGAATGCAAAACAGACCACCCTGGCTGGACAAAGAGGAAAAGCAGAAGTGACGATAAACATAAGATAGATCATGTCACCAATCAACAAAGGCATCTGGATTGGTTTGGAGCCTGGAGAGAAACTTTGGAAATTTGTCATTGTTTTTTAAAAATGATCATTATCACTGTACAGAGAAAGGGACTTGAAAGGTATAGAAACAAGTACCATTTAATTATTTGTTGAAGTAACTCAAGGGAGCAATAATGGCAGCTTAGACTTGGATATCTGTAGTTAAGGTGAGGAAAAATAATGAAATATTTTGGAGCTAGAGAAAAATAAGTAGGAAATATGTTGAATGTAAGAAATAATAAAGAAGAGCAATCAAAGATGGACTCATGTTTTTGGCTTGTAATGCTAGATAGAAAGGTGGAACTCCTTGTGGATGTGGGGCAGACACAGGTTTTAGTGATAACAAGTGAGCTGATGGTAATTTTGGATGGTTGGACATTCTTGTAAGACACTGAAGAAACTAACCGTAATGGAGGGATCTTAAGAAGAGCCCTAGGAAGTATACTATGTTTGGAAAAGAATGAGATCCACTAGGAAAGAGTGGGACTAGAGAGTTTAGCCAAGAACAAAAGCTTGGTGCAGTTCAACATTTTCAGAGGTAAGGTTGGGCATCATGTTGTATCAGTTTAGTATCCTAAATATTTCTCTGTCTCTACTGAAACTAACATCCTCATCCAAACTATCACTGTCTTTCTCATGAGCCACTGAAATTACTTTTTTTTTTGCCTTAAAACAATACAAATTTATTAACTTACAGCCCCAAATGTTACAAGTCTAAAATAGATCTTATGAGGTTGAAGTCAAGGTGTTGAAAGAACTGAATTTCTTCTAAAAAATGTACAGAAAAATGTATTTCCATGTCTTTCCCACAGCATAGAGACTGTCCTATTCCTTGACTTTTGATTCACTATCTCTCTGACTTCTGTTGCTGCTATCACATCCCTTTCTGCAACTGTGATACTCTCGCCTGTTTCACTTAGTTTAAAAAAATGGTTTTTCCATTAGCTTCTTAATTGGCTGCCCAATACTTTCAATTAGATTTGCATAGTCCAGAGAGAGTGATCTTGATGTGCTTAAATTATGTCATGCTGTCATTTCAATCACTTCCATGGGATCTCACCATGCTTAGAGTAATAACCAAAAGTTGATTTTGATAGCATAGCTCTATGTGGTCCTCTCCACTCTCACTATGCCACTCATTCCATCTTATTTTTGTGGTCTAATTATCCTGACATTTTTATCAGGTTCACCACATGTATCATATTTCCTCCAGGGCATCATTTCTAGGCACATGCTAGCTCTTCTACTTGGAAAGTTATCTATCTTCTTTTGGTCCAAGTAATTCCAACCAATATTTTGGATTTCAACTAAAATATCACTCCTACTGAAAAGCCTTGTTGACACATCCATATTACATTCATGTTTCATTTGTAAATTGTAGAAAACCCAGTATGAAATGATTTATAGAATAGGAATTTGTTGGCTATTGCAATATGACCTCTAGAGTTGGTTTCAGAAATGGTTAAAGAAAGATTTCATTTATGTCTTCTGAACTAAGTGTCTCTGTGTTTCGGTGATGTTGTGTTTAATGTCATCTGAACTATTAAAATGGTTCTTCTACATTGCAAGGTGGCAATAATAATTGCAACTATCACATTTTTCTACCTTGCAGGAGAGACTGTCTCCTAAGAGTCTACGGTAATGCCACTGCTCATTTTGAGTTAAATGCAATGCCTTTAGAGCAATAGTTTCCAACCTTCTTGGCATCAGGAACCAGTTTCATGGAAGGCAGTGTTTCCATGGACCAAGAGGGTAGCAGTTTGGGGATGCTTCAAACATATTTCATTTATTGTATACTACTTTTATTATCATTATTATTACATTGTAATATATAATGAAATAATTCCAATTTAAGTAGGACTATTGGTATTTTCTTTCAAAGCTTTTCTTTCTTTTGCTTTCAGTCTTAAGCATCTTATACTATCTTATCCTTGGGTCTTTCCTTCTTTTGGCTAGAATTACGTAGTGGACTTATCCATAACTGATTATTAGCAGAAAGTTTGCTATGGTTGGTGGCCAATGAACAAGGCTTGAAAGATTGTTTCAGACCTCAAAAATGCAACCTGTCCTCTTATTGTTGTTCTCTTTGGGCTACTTTCTATTTCTAATCACTGTGATAAGGAGAAAGTTGTGTGTTGTTAATGAAAATAATACATGTTTTGCAGTCATAACTTTTGTATAAATACCCTCTCAAGCAATGATTTTTAAATTGAATGGGAAAAATTTTGAATCTCATCCTCAGGTTGTGCATCTAAAAATCTGAAAGAACTTAGCAGGGATTATGTCCAGTTTTTGAGAATAGGATCCTTAAATTATGCAGCATAAACTACAGGAAAGTTTATCACGTGGAAAAATATTCTCAGATAGGAAGTTCAAAGTTATTGTATGGCTTCACAAAGGTGTCAGAGATTCAGTACAGTTTCAGCTTATGCTCTGACATGCTGACAGTACATCTACATTCTAGCCCGCAGTATGAAAGGAAGAGTACTGAGCAAAACTATCAAAGAGCACACTAGCTTTGTTTGGATGCAGTTTTAGAAAACTGTAACATAACATTTCTACCAACTTTTAGTTAGCCAGAAATTAGTCACATAATCACCTTAGTTTCAAAGAAAATTGGGAAATCCTATGAGCCTACTAAAACTAAAACTTCATTATTAAAAGCAATAGTAGCAACAAAAAAACTCAAAAATGTTAATAAAATGTGTATTTTATAATGTCCATTAAATTATTTTCTTTGTAATCCACTCTTATTTGCTCCCTTTGATATACTTTTATCAAATGGATTCCAGTGTTATTTTGTATTAAATCTTTAAAGATTCTGGATATTCACATTCTTTGTCAGATAGTTGCTATAATAGTTCATATCTAAGCAACGAATGCAAATAAATAGTTAAGTAATTGTTAGAAAAGACTGAAATTTGGTTCAGAAAGTATTTCAGGCTTCCTAAACTGTGAGAAGAAACCAAAGTTGTAGAGACAGTTGTAAGAATTCCAAAGCACAGTGCTGAAGATTAGCAGTAGTACTGACCATAGCTATATTGTACCTGTTTGATATCTTTTATCTAGACTCCTCTCACCCTGACTTCACAGAGATTCTGTATTTACTTTCCCATTGTTAGACACAATTATTGACACTCACATTTTAAAAGAGGTGAAGTTTCATTTGGCTCACATTTTAAGGAGATTCTGTTCATGATCAACGGGGTCCAAGGCTAAAATATACAGGCAAAAGTGCATGGTGAGGCAAAGTTTCTTAGTTTATGGTGGCCTGGATACTAAGCAGGGGAGCACTACAAAGAGGAAGGGGTGAGGGACCAGACATAGATCCCAAGGCCATGCCTCCAGACCTATTTAGAAACACCCAGAAATGAGCTTCACCAACCCCCAAGGGGATAAAAAAAAATCAAGTTGACATTACACCCTAAAGGCCATAGTTATCCTTTAATAGATGTTCCTTCCACCGAGTCCTGAGTGCTCTCACTCACACTTTCTACCAAAACCTTCTCTTCTTTAGTTTATGAACACTAAGTAGATGAATGATGAGGACAGGATAAAGCAACTGGATTTTTGATGAATCAAGCTTTGAGCATCAGTGCAAAGTCAAATATGTAGAATTCTACAAGAGTAGGGCAGAGAAGGAATTGTCAGTGCAAATAGTTCTGAAACTTATTCTTTCTATATTAAAGCCAAACTTATGAAGCTGTCAGAGAACTTCTTTTCCCTGAGTCTGAGTTGCTGAATGAATTAAATAAAGAAGCTGGACTCAGTACTGCCAATTTCGTGCTGCAAGGGACATGCTTTGTATGGTATTCTATGTATTATCTGCATGTGCCAGTTACATAAAATGAAAGGAAATGGATGGTATTGCTAACAACGGGCAAGATAAGGATCCTAGATAATATCTAATCTTTTTCAGTCCTAAGCATTCTGACTCTCAGAAACTATATAATTGCCTTTGAACTTTTCTGGATGCCCCTGAAAGCATGTTTTTGGGCAACAGGATGATACAGAGGATACCCCAATATGGTCTGTGTCATGCTTGGTCTTCTGTACACAAGTTCTGACTACTTCATTTCAAGAAAGTACAACATCAATGAAATAGATGAGACTAGAATTGCTCCTGAGTTACTTTTATGCTTGCTTTAATTTACACAAAAATATCAAATCTATAAAAGTGCTTTATGTATGCTTAATTATGAATTATTTACAGCCTTCTTCATTTTGGTTTTGATGATGAATCTCCTGGTTTATGCACTACAGATAATATAAATCATTTTTAGTAGACTCAAAAGAGGACATTCCCCTTCTACACAAAATGAAGATCTGTGTGAAGATTAGCAACATGAGTTTGGAATGTATTCTTCATTTTTCCTCCATGTGTTTTTCTTTCAATTTGGTAAATTAATGTACTCTGAAAGAAATAGTTTTTGTTTGCAGAGAAAGTGCTGTAACT